CAGAAGATGACGTCTTTTTCTTAGCTTGAGTCAGAGTCAACTGCGTTGTAGCCGATCTCTTCTTGGCCCCCGTACCAGCAGACTGCCCTGCAACGTACTGAACATAGCACCAGTATTATGAACTTCTGCAGTAGCAAGCAACATACAATTTGCAGGCTGATCTCCTTATTTATCAGCCATGACTTGAGATGACTTCCTCACCCGATCCATGGCACGTCTATAGATATAAGACAAATATTGTTTAAATTGTAGGTTGGATAAATCAACACAATAAGTACAGCACAAGCTGGAAGAACATGGTTTGATGCACGAAGGGCATTGGGGGTGAGGATCAGCCTAGGATAACCTGTGCCTGCAAACACAGCAAGATTTCATAAATGTAAACAAGTTACATCACGATGAAATTATGACACAAATACAATAATTTTTACAAATTGTTTTACATATAATACAATATAGTTATATCCAAATCCATACACAGCGTAATTTTGAAGAATAGGACCTAAATAAAAAGGATATAATGCCGTATACGGGACTCCAATGCTCGCCCAACCATCCACTTGGGCGAAAAGGGAGAGAGTGACAAGTAAGGCTGGTCACATGACTGTTTGTGCGAGAAAGTGCAAAAGGGAGGTAACTCGTGGATGAGTGAATTTTTACGTCCGCGTCGGGAACTTCAAGGGATTCAAGTGTTCCACTACCATTCGCAAGAGAAAGGGAGGTAAGCAAAAGATCATGAGTCAGGATAAGAAAAAATTATGAGATACGTATATAATGTCTGTACTGACTGTAACCAACAAGCAACCAACTGTAACCAACTAGTATTTGTATTAGGTGGCGGTGATTATCCAATCAAGCTGGATAATATTCTTATTGAGTAATGAGTAAACCTATTGGTGCAGTGTCTTGCAACAAAATATTTTTGGAGTGAGTGAGTGAGTGAGTTTGGTTATACGCCGCTTTTAGCAATATTCCAGCAATATCACGGCAGGGGACACCAGAAATGGGCTTAACACATTGTACCCATGTGGGGAATCGAACCCGGGTCTTCGGCGTGACTGACGAGCGAACGCCTTAACCACTAGGCTACCCCACCGCCCCTAAATACTTTTGGAACTTAAAGAGAATAATCATACTGACATAAAAATAGGACGATGCTAGGCTACAACAGAAAAATACAGGTTTCGGATTACATTTCAACATGTTCAAAATAGGATTTTTCTATCTTTTTCTTAAAAATCTGGCAGATATACTGCATAATATAGAGCAGTGTTTTTGTATTTTCACGCATGCTCCATGTTTTGCAATAAACAATGAGTATCTTGAGTACCCTTAAGGGTTGGCTCACTCAACATGCTATTTAGTGTTTTTCAGGGAATCGGAACATCATTTGTTTGGAGCTTTCAAGCTTTCTTGTTACCACTAGCATGATAATTTCATAATATCTCTATAATGTCCATAGCATGATTCTTCCACATTTGTCAGAAAATGTGAGCCTGCAGGGTTATTATTACAACATACTGTATTAAACACCCCACTAAACTTAGTACCCTCTAATCAACTTCTAAATGACCATTCTGTAATTAGTCCACTTAATAACTTCATATGAGAGTGTTTATTACATAATATTTCAATCTCCTCAAAAGAACAGTTCAAGGCAAATGTGACTCACATAAAGCATAAACAGTTGGTATAGATATAGTGTATTCTAGCAAGTAGGTACACAATGAATATATATTGGTCTCCACTGTTTAAAGAAGTAAGTCAAGGTAATCATGGCAACAGTAATGATGGATGGGAACAAACAGCTGTTGTGTACAGTTGAAGGTACTTAAGGAGATGAAGTGTTAGGTACTGAAGCCAGTGGGATACAAATCTAATAATTAATTTATCAGGTGTTCTGATTAATCTATATCATTGTGGGGACTAAACAGATCAATTAATTGATAAGGATTTCAAAATGAATCTTATATGACCATATAACTAACACAAGAAAGTTTTGTTCATTGTTTATCGTAATATTTAAAAAAACAGCTTGTGATAAAATGTCAAATGAAGTATTATGATCAATCATCAGTTGACATCCACCTGCTGGTCCAGAGTTAATATCAATCCTGATTCATGGAGTGTCTCCAACATGCGCAAGAGAGTGAGTGAGTGAGTGAGTTGGGTTTTATGCCGCTTTTAGCAATATTCCAGCAATATCACGGCAGGAGACATCAGAAATGGGCATCACACATTGTACCCATGTGGGAAATTGAACCCGGGCTATCGTCGTGATGAGTGAACACTTTGACCACCAGGTTCACCTACTGCCCCTCCTACATGCATTACCCCAAGGCTCCACACGATCACGCCTCTCACTGTGCACAAATCCTCACACATGTTGTAAAACACTGACTCAAAAGGCTCTGTAGCTCACCTGAATGTTTCTGGAAAATTTACAAATTACCTTGATTCAGTATAAAGACTGGAATTAACATGACTGCAGAAACATGAATATCTTAATAGAAACAGGTATGTTTTAATGCAAAAAACAGTTTCAATATGATCAGCTGTTGCCTTGACAGCAGTGTAAAAATTGACACATATAACAAATTTGGTAGTACTGGAAGGCAATATCTTGCAAATGGGTGGTACCTTTGATACCGGGAAAAGAGGCATCAGTACAAAAGACCATTCTGGTTTCCACTTCAACTTCGCAAATTTTCACTATTGCCCTTTAGTGGTGGTCCCATTAATTGAAATAATCAAAGATTGGTCGCATTGACCAAACAATCGATCACATTTTCTCATAATCGAACACAAACGATTTTGGACCTACTTGAAGGTGGATCATATCTTAAAAGTTGTCAGGGTCTTAAAGCAGGTTTAATTCTTACAAACGTCACTTCATTTACTGAAAAGTCATAACTGATTATTTCTCTGGGAGGTTTATATGTTAACGTAATATTAGTCATCACTTTAAAGTAGCAAGTTGCATCATTTTACTTTGGATGTGAAAGTCGCAAATGCAATTTGCGCAATATCTAAGTAAGACAAAAAGCAACAGAGAAACATCTTATACTTATCTGCAATAACAACCTGAACAGGAAAATCTTAAAAATGATGCTAACCAATTTTTTTCGATGATTGCTCGTTGGTAATAAACCAATCATCAATTGTGACTGACTGACTGACTGAGTTTGGTTTTTACTCCGCTTTTAGCAATATTCCAGCAACATCACGGCGGGGGACACCAGAAATGGGCTTCACACATTGTGCCCATGTGGGGATTCGAACCCGGGTCTTCGCGTGACGAGCCAACACTTTAACCATTAGGATACCCCACCGCCCCAATCATCAATTGTGAGATTTCAACCGATTCCCAACACTATTGCCCTTTCTGTATCATTGTTGAAATGATTAAAGATATAGTCACAGAACTGTACCTCACCCAGATATGTAGTCAACAGTCAAAATGTCAAAACAGACTACTGAGTAACACAGAATTCATGTCAGCATTGGTATTTACAGTTTTTTTACACTGATACTTAGGAAAACAATATTGACAAATATCAAACAAGTAACTAATTTCCTTACTTTGCAACGAGTGAGTTCAGTTTTGCGCCACTTTCAGTAATATTCCAGGAATATCACGGTGGGGGACAGCAGAAATGGGCTTCACACACTGTACCCATGTTCGAATCTAACCAGTGTCTTCGGCGTGATGAGTGTTCTTTTCAAGAACTATTGTACTACTTTTAACAAGTTGAAAAACAGCAGTTGATTTTACTTTATACAAAGCTATGAACCTTATATAACTTCTAAGGTTACTAATAGTTAAACATTTTCAAATTCTCGGCAATTTGTTTGCAACTGCTTCACTAAATTAAGGTATTTAAAACATGGCATCATGTTGACAAACATGCATCTTAAAATTCAGCTTCCTTACACAGCTTGTTTACAGAGAGGAAAACACATTTTAAGAAAATGTAAACGCATCACATTGTCTTTTGAGCAGTGACCATAAACAGCTTAATCAATTTTTTGTTGAAAAGCATGGCAGTATGAACTCAGAATAGGCTGTGATGCTGATGCTAGAAGAAACTGAGCTGAAAATGATACGGATTCTCTCCTTTTGGTGGGGATAAAATATAGGAAGTCACTTGCTGGGATCAACACCACAAACATCACAAAAACTCTAAAACCTGGCCCATTTGCGAACACTTTATAAGCGCTTGCTTGACTATTTGCAAGCAGAGCTATATGGTCATATTTCTGTTCTAGTCTTTTGCTCAGTGTGTAATTGATTTAATTTACAACTCAGTATTATCATACTAGATTATGGCAAAAGACTTTTCTCAAAACAAGATTAACACACCTAATTTATAAAACAAAAGGCTGTCTCATTGTTGATAAGAATTACGACAACCTAATCTTGATTTAGGAATATTGGAACTAATATTACTAAATATATAAAACTTTACATATAACCATACCTTTGACAAGTGTGACAAATTAGGGAACTGGGAAATGTGAGAGAGGCATTTTGAGTTAGCCCTTGTTAACACTACTTCAACTCTGTGACTACATGTGCAAAGGATATGTTTATTGATGACCACACAAAACCTCTCTCAATACACTACACAATATTAGAATCAACCGTTATTGGAAGTCCTATATATTGCGGAGACTGTCTGAAAGCGAAAGGAGACTGAAATCAAGTCTATTGTTTCTAAACAAGCTCGTCTATTTTCAGAACAAATTGACATATATTGGAATTTGCATAAATTAACACATTTTACACCTAAATGCAAACATCAATCAGAGCGAAACATTTATATCGATTACTGAAACTGACAACGTTTAACAAAGCCAATGTTTGAGCCTAGTAGCAGACGGAAAATTCCACTTTTTTGTGAATAAACACGGGACATGTGCCGGCGTCACGTTCATGTTTCTGGTCAAAACAAACAATTTCCAAACATAAGCCACGTATATTTGGCGAGCATACAGACCTTGATATCCTGAACTCATTGTCAGTAATAAAACTAATTGCAAAAGGAAACCACAGGCTGCACAAATTGTAGAATCTTCTGCTGTTTATCGCAAGCGTGAATGTCAAAGTGATCCGCCATACCAACTACTAAGGAGTGAATGCAGGCACAGCTCATGATTTGAAAAAAAAGGCTCAATCATTTGTTTTAACTCATAAGTGCAACTACCTTCTAAATGTTAAATTTGATTATATAACGACGCTAAAATTAGATGTGTTCTGAATTTGTAGTAATTTTTCTGTCTGGGTGTTCAACCCGTGACCTACTTTATGTACCGGTGTTATACTTTTATGTTACTCATGAAATATAGTATAGTCGATTGATGTACCACTTGCTTGACAACGAAATTAGAATCATAGGCCCCTACTGCGGGTCAGAAAATCGATAAACTAGACCCCTACTATATAATATGTATATAGTAGGGGGTGTGAATACCAAACCGGGGCCTAGTGTATCGATTTTCTGACCCGCAGTAAGGGCCTATGATTAGAATCTACGAAACGTCGCCTATACAGAATAAAGAAGTTGTATATCCATAAAATTGTCCTTGTTCTGGATATAAGTTTGTTCAAAATAAGCCATGGATGTTTGTAAGCTGCCTAATTCTTTAGTAACTTTGATAAGGCCAATATACAAATAAAAAAACAGTAAAATTTCAGCATTTGGTGATATGTCGATCCTCGTACTCCCTACACATCTCGGATTCGTTGGACTACTGTTGAGGAGACTAGCCTACTGTACATATATGTGTTACTCGGGCTGCCACGAACACCCTGGGATACGAATAAGATATTTTTACGAATATAAAGTAGCGAACACACATTCATGAATACTTTATGTTTAAAATATCTGCGCATTAGAATAACAAACATGCCATGCTATTGCTTAAGTTGAAACATTTAAACAATATTTTCAATAAAACAAAAAGAGGAATACATCAGGAATATTTCAAAATAACACAAATTAAAACGATACGCCCCTCTTGGCTTGGATATATTCAATTTTGCATTTAATTAACTTTACTAGTTTATAAAGTACAACAGTAAAACTAGTGAGTATAAACACCCTTAAACCTAGTGACCACGAATATGAATTAAATTCAGAAAGCGATAATATTCGGCTCACCGAATATGTGAGTGAACAGTAACAGATCTAGTTGTTTGTTGAATCAGTCAGTAAACACATCGTTGTGAAACCAACAATATTCAAGGCAATGTCATATAATTAACACGAGTACATAAAAAAATGACTCTTCAAGAGTCTCCAACTCCCTAGGCCAGAATATAGTGCAAAGGTCCATATTTTTAGCTTGATAACATTGTAAACATTAACATCGAAACGCCGCTCTATCCAATAAACAAGACGTTGTTATCCGTATGCTTCATAGTGACTCAATAACACCTGAAATGCCAATCAAACAATCGATAAAACCCATAGGGTTGTAGTAACCTATTGTACCTTCCAGAACTCTGTCCCATGCTTGTCGTAAGAGGCGTCTAACGGGATCGGGTGGTCAGGCTCGCTGACTCGGTTGACACATGTCATCGGTTCCAAATTGCGCAGATCTATGCTCATGCTGTTGATCACTGGATTGTCTGGTCGAGACTCGATTATTTACAGACCGCCGCCATATAGCTGGAATATTGCTGAGTGCGGCGTAAAACTAAACTCACTCACTCCAGAACTCTGTCCCCTCACCGATAGTCTGTCGTACAGACCCTGAAGCAAATATATCCAAGAAAGCCCACACAAGTCTAGAAAATGTGGCAAGTCTAGATTTCCTCAGCTTCAGAAAATGAAGAAAGTCTCAGGGCTCCTTTTCATTATATTTTTTTTACTATGAACTTTTTTCAGTAAATTATGTTCATTTCAGAGACTAGTTGTTAGTCTACCTCACCGACTACACGATGTATTACCAGTGTATGAAATAAGGTCCGTCCGACCGACCGAGACGGTCTAGATTTCTGACGGACGGTCTAAATTTACAGCTAGCCAGCCCGATGGTCTGGTAAATGTTTTAAATGTTCCATACATCTGAGTAAATTCACCATATTTGGTCTGGTTAAATCCATTTTGGGCTGGTAACATTTTTGCAGTTACCGGCCCTGATGTCTGGCTGGACTTTTGGCTTATTACATACACTGGCATTACACTTGAAACGCTACCGCTGTTACACAATGAGTAAAACTGCAATATAAGGGACCGGTGTGTGTGTGTACACAAAACTATGCTTAAAATTATGCTTAGAAATTATGGGTAGGGGAGGGGGGTCATTGATTTTGTACATAACATGCAGGGGGGTCACTTATTTTGTACATACATTTTAGGGGGGTCATTCACATTGTACAAGCTTCTCCATAAAAATCATCATCACCCCCCAACCCCTTAGCCATAAATAATGAACGGTCACAAACTGGATTAATTCGTCACTTACTTACCCGCTTATGATTATCTTGATTTGATCTCAGACATCTTGCCACTTCATATTTCAGTACATTCACAACAATTTCTGTAATATCGATGTCGGGCGCTATGTCAGGGGCGAATGCAGCTTTTTTAGAAGGGGGTGGGTGGGGTGCACACTCAGTTTCACGAGAGTTTCAATGGCCATTTAATATACTTTCAGGACAAAAGGGGGTAGTGCGCACCCCCCTCTCGATCCACCTATGCTATATGGTGGTCACTTTAGAGTGTGTATCACATTGTCGCTGAATCGCTGTACATGAATAATAATGAAGCCGTACTTTATCTTCCAACCCAAGTGAATGATGCGATATATCCGTTCATTACCATCTACTATATGTCATCTGGTAGAGAGGGGCTGCTAGGAAAGGGTTGGGGAGAGGGTTTGGTTTAGCGGAGTTAGTTGAGAGGGGTTGGTAGAAAGGGGCTGCTAGAAAAGAGTTGGTGGAGAGGGTTTGGTTGAGAAGGGTTGGTAGAGAGGGGTTGGTAGATAGGGGCTGGTAGAGAAGGGTAGGTAGAGAGGGGCTGGTAGAGAGGGGTTGGTAGAGAGGGGCTGGTAGAGAGGGGTTGGTAGAGAGGGGTTGGTAGAGAGGGGTTGGTAGATAGGGGCTGGTAGAGAAGGGTTGGTAGAGAGGGGCTGGTAGAGAGGGGTTGGTAGAGAGGGGTTGGTTGGTAGAGAAGGGCTGGTAGAGAGGGGCTGGTAGAGAGGGGCTGGTAGAGAGTGGCTGGTAGAGAGGGTTGGTAGAGAGGGTTGAGAGAAGGGTTGGTAGAGAGGGCTGGTAGAGAGGGGGTAGAGAGAGAGAGGGCTGGTAGAGGGGTTGGTAGAGAGGGGCTGGTAGAGAGGGGCTGGTAGAGAGAGGGTTGGTAGAGAGGGGCTGGTAGAGAGGGGTTGGTAGAGAGCAGAGAGGGTGGAAAGAGTTGGTTCGTAGAGAGGGTTGGCAGTGAATTCGTAGACGTTGGTAGAGAATGATGAAGAGTGGCTGGTAGAGAGAGAGGGGTCACAGAGGGGGCAATATTTTCGTATCACTGAAAGATAAAAATACAACACAAACCCTATATATACAAATACATGTAAAACAAGTCTAGCATGCAGGGCATGGTAGAGAGGGGTTGGTAGAGAGCAGGTCTGGTAGAGAGGGGTTTGGTGAAAAAAGATAGCTCTAAGTAATATTCCCATAGAGAAGGGCTGGTAGAGATTGGGGCTGGTAGAGATCGCGTGAATTTTGAAATGTTACATGTTTCAACCCACTGGCGTTTAGAGAGTGGCTGGTAGAGAGGGTTGGTAGAGAGTAACTTTGGTAGAGAAAGGGACTGGTGGCAGAGAACAGAGAGGTTGGTAGAGGGGGGTTTCAGTAGATTCTCTAAGAAGGGTCTGATCTTCATGAATTCGCCTGATACCAACACCACTCAAATAATATTTGATAAAATGCGCGATTATTCACAAGGAAATAAGCCAAACTATCTTGTGTATTTCGTGACATCTACTTATTTTACTCCGTTAATTATATCACTGTAACTCATTGTTATGTACTTTGACTTGCTTTTTTAACTCAATTATTGGAAGCGAATTGCACGGGGTATATTTTACGTTTGCGCCGCCAGTACGCCCTCTTTCGGTAAAGAAACGAAGGAAGGTAACCCCCATATCACTATCGGAACATCGCTCGACAACCTTGTTCTCCTTCGGAAAGACCGCCAAAGTTGATTTCTACGTAACTGCCCGAGATTATCCGATCTCTTAAACTTTGGACAGAGTTATCTATCTTGATCCAAAATGTCTACCGATGAAAATTCAGCTACGAGTTCTCAGTCTCAACCGGGATCTGGGGCCCCTCCGCCGGAGGTTAAAACGGCAGGAATTCCGCTAAGTGATTTTGTACTTCAACTGGAAGATTATGCGCCAACTGTAAGATATAATTGTATCTTATAATAATTGCGGTAGACTGTTTTCGCCTGATCAAATAGCCGGTCCCCGTGATATGTTTAACTAACATTTCAAAATAAACCTCTGGTTTATGCAACTTCGATAAAGTGCAATGTCTCATCACCATGACCCTCGGAACATTGCCAAGAGTTTGAAATATACAACATTCATTCCTCATATTTGGCTATTTGATATTTCATGTCGACTTTTTTTCAACGCGCAACTGTCATAATGGACGTTGACTGAATGAGATTTAAAGATTCACTGTGGTATGTGAGAACACATGCAGATTATGACAAGTTGAACTGATTGATTGCAGTCTACACATGAACTGTTTTCTATGTAATTGAATCACCTTTTAATCAGTAAATGGTTTTGTGTAGCATTCACAGCATTGAGTTTCATGCCTTAGCATGCAAAGTTAAAGTATACAGTACAGATAACATCTTGTATGTAGATTGTTGTCACTAGTAAAGTTGTGGCTTGTACAGGAGTATTTTTTCATCCTGAGACTTAGATAATGGTGTGACATATTATTTGTGTATAGTTATTATAATAAACTGAGTAGAGGACAGGTTGTACATAGTACTCACATACAAAAACCCTGTTTATCTTGGGCACTCCACGTGAAATACCATGTCTTAAGATCTATGTATTATTTTAATCATGCCTTTAGAATGTCTGGTTTTGACTGTTATATGTCAGTATTATGTATTGGTGATAAAAATTTCAGAACATATAAATTATATTTAAACCAATATCCAGCAACAAGAATTAAATAGGTATGTAAATATTCTCTGAGTGCTTAGGTATTATCCTGGATGTTATCATTATTGTAAATAGATACAGTGATTTTGGTCAGAGTTGCAGCTAGAAGAACCTGATATTGTACAATAACCATATCAGATTGTTTCTTCTGATCATTATATCATATTCTATTTATGTGTTATTGTGAAGTTTTTAAGGGAATCACACATAGATATGAGATAGAAATATGTGTACAGTGGACTTCCTGTTTACAAGAAAATACGCTGGTGATCATTCAGTGTGCGTGATAAAACCTAATGTCCAGCATAACCGAAAATACAATTGACATATTAAATCATGTTTAGTGATGTTTGATCACAATTTCTCATTTTGATTAAGAAAGGTTGTTATGATCTGTTTGTTCACTTGTTGGGATTAAATGTATGCTTGCTGCTAATAATACGTATTCGCCCACATTCTACATCCCCAAAACATGCTGACAAAATATCTTGTGCATGTATTCAGTTTCATGCTTGAACACGCTTCCACTGTAATGCAAACTTTCCACTATTAATGCAAACTTGATCTGAGTTATAATTGGTATAGTTTTATTCTTTGTTCTCTTTCAGTAGTTCTACAAGTGCATTTCATTTCTGTCATATTAAGAGAATCTCACCCTCATAAATTTCGGGATTGAACATGTCAACAGGAGTCATACAACTCTGAGACTTTTCAAAAACTTTTGTCGATACACAAAGACTCAAACTGTAGTCAAAGGTTAGAGTCTCTATTTTCATCCCAAGTTTTTAAAATTAAATTTGTTCAGTTTGTAAACCTATATAATTGTGTTGAGGGTTGAAGGACAGCTAACCATCCTCTGTGGTTAAGAGGTATATGATGATGTTTGATTGTGACATCACTGCAAGCAATGACTTTATATCGATCTGGAAGTGGAATGGTTTGCGCTGCAAACAGATCTCACTCAAGAGTCATCTCGTGTAGAAGCATTACTGAATGATAGAACATGCTTAATGAAGGCATGATTAATGAAACACACTTTGTAGACATTTTGGTACTGATAGACACATTGACGAAACCCATGAGGACAGAATGGTAATAGCTCTAACAGGCTATGAGGATTTGTATCATATAATTTAGGATGATTCAGGAATTCAATACTAACTTGATCAAAAATAAGCATGATAAGGGAGGCAACTTTGCACAGTGATTTGTGGCACCTCAGACTACCCTGCATACTGGGCTCCAACTCCAACCGACTGGTTGTGAAGTTGGTTGTTAATAAACATGCTAGACTGATGCATATTTGTGATTTAGATATTCAGAAAAATATCTGTCATGTTATTAAATATGTTTATGGAGATAATCATTTGGTACCAGTTAAAACTCATATCAATATTTATCATCACTATGGATAGCTGTAAGTTTTGGTTTAGTATATTAACAAAAGCTAGTAGATGTTGTCCAAACAAAAAGTCAAATCGACTTTGGGTTGATCATGTTTCAGAACAGACTGACCAGTCAGCTGTAGACACTGCAGCATGCTGTACACAGTTGTCTCGGGTGGTGGGGTAGCCTAGTGGTTAGAGCATTCACTCATCATTCTGAAGACCGGGTTCGATTCCCCACATGGGTATAATGTGTGAAGCCCACTTCTGGTTTCCCCCGCTGTGATATTGCTGGAATATTGCTAAAAGCGGCATAAAGCTAAACTCACTTGTACTCACTGATAGTTGTCTCCCTTATATATATTTATGAGTTCAATCGTTGGTTCATTTGTGTTTCATGTCATTACTTCGTTGTTGGTCATTTGCTTTCAGATACCAGACTCTGTTACCGGGTTCTATCTAGGCAGAGCAGGTTTTGAGGCATCAGATCCACGGATGTGAGTACTCAGTGGACATCAAAAATTGTTTACATGTCAAGGGGATTCTGGTTGGTTGTACCCAGCAACCTAGACTATTTGTCAGAGGTGACTAGGTGAACTGGGTTGTCCCTGACGACATGGGTCATTGGTGACTGTATGAATCACTAGATTGTCTGGTCCAGACTCCATGATTTACAGGCCAATGTCACAGAGAATGAATCTTCTGCAACAAATGCTTGTCTCTCTGCTAGGTTGGTTAACCATGTTTATAGACTGTTATCATATAGCTGGAACATTGCTGACTCCATAAGTCCATCAAAGTGAAATCAAACAGACACTGGCAGTTGTGTCAGGATGTTTTCAGTTTTTCATTTGACAAATTTGAATGACTTCACTTTGATGGATTAGAAAAACGCAAAAGATACAAATACACGCTAACAATAAGAAACTGTTCCTAATCAGGGATTGGGAAAGGCAGGAGCCATGGGCCATTTTGCACATTAGAATAAAAAAATGGCCAAATAAAATTTTGAGGTTTACTATTGATACATGGGCAGTGGCATATTCTAAATTCAGAAAATGGCTGATAATCCTGAAAATGACCCATTGTCGAAGTTCTCTATCCCAATCCCTGCTGATTTAGATAAATGTTGTCTCTGTCCGTGTCAGCATGTACACTGCAAGCATCTCTGAACATATAAGAGAAAAGTAATATTTTGAACAATTATGGGTTACTGTAAAGTTGTAATAACATCTATGCTAACTGTTGAAATAACTTGTACATGCCCCATGGAAACCTTGTCTTGTAAATCCGGGTTAGAATTGGTCTTCATCAACCCATGCTTGTCGCTAAAGAGGCGACTAACTTGATCAGGTGGGCAGTTGACTTTGTTGACAAATGTCATTGTATCCCAATTGTATAGATCAATGGGGCAGTGGGGTAGCCTAGTGGTTAAAGCATTGGCTCGTCACGCCAAGACCCAGGTTCGAATCCCCACATGGGTACAATGTGTGAAGCCCATTTTGGTGTCCCCTGCCGTGATGTTGCTGGAATATTGCTAAAAGCAGCGTAAAACCAAACTCAGTCAGTCAGTATAGATCAATGCTTATGATGTTGATCACTGGATTGTCTTGTCCAGATGCAGTTATTTACAGACTGCAGGCTTATGGATGGAACGTTACTGCTTGTGGTGATATACAACAAACAAACAATCAAACTAAAAGAAATCCACTTGTCCTGATGTATAAACATAGAGATTCCTTCCCTTTTGTTCCAGAATTCGCCTCATCTCATTGGCTGCACAGAAGTTCATCTCTGACATCGCGAATGATGCTCTACAACACTGCAAGATGCGGGCTTCAGGCCAGAGTTCGAAGAAACAAGGGAAGGTGCGTCACTTGTCTCCTCTCTCTTTGATTATGCTGTGATCCCATATATAATGCTGGACTAAACTCCTGTACATTAGGATGAAGGTGGCTCAGATGTCTGAAATATAGGCTTGCTTCCTTTATAAGGGTGCAAGGATCATATGATCATGGGGGAAAATATCAGATTCATCCAAATGTTGATTTATCAGCCTCAAACCAATATTGATAGGTTTCATCAAGTTTGTAAATGCTAAATATTTGAGTCACTTTGGGCTATCCAGTGTGTAAATCTGACACTGCAATATCACTGAAATACTATTCTGAGCAGCATTATGATTTATCTGTATACTGATTACAGAATGTTGCCTTTTATGGTGATTGCCCTTGTGACAACAATTTTCATTTTCTTCACAGGACAAGAAGCATATTTTGACAATGGAAGACCTGACACCTGCACTTTCAGAGTATGGTATTAATGTAAAGAAGCCATGTTACTTCTACTGAAGACCAACAGCCACACTCATGCTTGGTGTCGTTCTGTCATTGCTCGGGGAACTTTCTGAAATGTTTCGGGTTCTTCCAGGTGCTGATCAATTTACTAACAGGGATCTTTAAGAAACTAACTTGGTGAATCTAAGTTACTCTTTTAGAGTAATTTGAAAGAAGATTTTTATTTCAAACTAATTTATAATACTGATGATACCTTACTTTGAAGATAATTTTTAGAGGTAATATGAGTACCAGCATTGTGTACTTGTTTGAATCCAGATGGTAAGGAGTTATGATTCATGAAGTGGATAACTGACAGTTTAAACAGTGAATTAGGTCTCTGTATTAACCTGGACAGATTGTATATATTAAGGGTTTGGTGCCATCATATGTTAAGTGACATACGAGTATCCACTAGTCTATGTTCAGGGAAATACCATTGCATCATCCACGGTACATATTCAGCTGGGGCTATACCATCCTCGAAAATCTCCAGGGTATACGTTCCGATAAATCTCCACTAGTACCCTGGATGCATCTACGGCTCGGCCTGATAATTGTATTACCTCCCTTTGCTGTGTTTTTATCCAATAAGGTGTTTACGCTGGGAAATTGAGCGTACCAATCACAAGGCTATCATCATAACTCACTTCCCTATATCTCTGTCACATAGCTAGCAAACCTTCGCGGCTACGGCCGCCATCTTTGTTGACACTGGCAAGCTCAGTTGTAACGGTTTATCTGATTGGCTACAGTGAGAAGGCAGAGCCAGCAAAGGGAGGTAATACAATTATCGAGCCGAGCCGTACATGCATTCAGGTAGTGGAGATTTATTGGAATGTATACCCTGGAGATTATCGAGGATGGGACTATACACAGGAACTGGGAATCTAAGCCATAGTATTTATTGGGCCATATTTCTGTTACTATCATGTCATCTTGCATGTTAAACTTCTCAAAAATAGTTTAGAAGCACTGGATTCTTTCATATGACTACCATGACATATCAACTTTAGTAATATGAAACAATTGGGCACTTGTAAACTTTATTTGGAGTAGTTTAGTCCATGCTGGTTCTTAACTAGTTGCTCTTGTAAAATGTAACATCATGATGGTTGTATCTTTGTTTCCATGGTAACTGTTACTGTGGCAACTGGATACACATTAGTCGTAAGTTCATCTGTCATGTGGAATTTAATGTTCATCGAGATTCATCAGTCATGTGGAATTTAGGCATCTGTTAACACATGCAGAGATGTAAACAGCAGTTTTATGATGGTCGGTTGTATAAACCCAGGTTTAAGGCATCTGTTAACACAGTGCAGCTGCAGATAACTCGAGGTACAGCTGTTGGACTAGACGTGGCCGGTTGGCTTAGTGGCACTGCTTAGTCTCCAGTTGCTGTTCAGAGGCAGGCGCGAAACCTATCATCATGGGTTTGCCTTGATTTTGTTTCTGGATGTGTCAGAACCATACCCTTGCCTGTGGCTTCACCAATATGGAGAATGTTTTAGACCTGCAGCACTTCAGGTTGTCCTCCCACATGAAGCTGACACAGTGCGATGTTACTGGAGTACTGCTAAAGGCAGCATTAAACCACTCACTCACTCACTGGACATAGCTATACCTGAGATTTCTGGGGATATCTACCTATGTTGTCAAAACAGCTCCCAGCAACACTGCCCCAACAAGGCAAATGCCTTGCACGCTATCAAAGTGCACAGAGGTGCTGAATGTAATATTGTTCCTTGAAGGAACACGCAGTCTCCTTGTTCATGTCCTTTAAGTCATGCGAGTTGACCAGGAGTTGACCAGTACCACCAAGCCAGGCCTGCGGCTGCTTGACAAAATAAGTATGTCTCGTCGTCCTGAAACAAAATCAGAGTGAACTGTGTTACATAGAGTGTTATTGCTATATCCATATCATAAATTAACAGGAGGAATGATAGTCAGTCTCGGAGTTGAGCCAGCCGGTCATTTCTATGAATTTTGCCAGTTGTTCAGCTCAGCTGTTTTACAAATATGAACCTTTTTTTTTTCTTGAAACGCTGGGCATGAGGGCAAGTAGAGGGAGGTAACTCTTCAGGTACTAATGTCCTTGTGAGGATGTTGATGGCGGATCAAGACCAGAGTAACCTGCCGACTTATGTTTTCATGGTGTATCAGTGTCGCATGTTTGCTTTCGCTTTGTTTTCCATGGAAATGCCTCAGTTGTCATGTTTGTGTAGATTTCCAGTTTATGTAGATGCAGTACAAGAACAGCTGGCTGGGCTAGCCAGGTGGTAAAGCCTATCACAAGGATTCAGAGTGTGAAGCTGGTTCTGTGTTTCAGAGAATGTGAACTCATTGGCAAGTTGGGTCAAGTTGGACTTTGATGTCTTGTTTGATAACTTTATTTATCATCCAAAACTGTGTTCCACAGGAGATATCACATGTGTGAGATCATATGATATCTCCTAGGAGATATCGTTGTGACAGTAGATTTTGTACAATGCCCTGACAATGCTATGACATCATGAACTTGATGATGTCACAATGCTATGACATCGCTGCACTGCAATTCAAATTGCAGTACTGTGTTCAGAGATGCACATTTTTCATTGAAAACTAATGAAGAGTGATTTTTTTATGATAAATAGAATCTCACCCTCGTGTCTACTGATATCAATTATATCAACCCTCGTTGATAAAAGTGAAAATATCCTGGGCAAGCCTCAGATATTTGTAACTTTTTCAACTCGTGTTGATATAATTGATATCAGTAGACACTTGGGTGAGATTCCCTATTTATCATCCTAGGCTGGCTCTCACAAATATATCACATCATTTGAGATGAATCCTTTGTAGACCATTGTGATGTCATGGGTTATGATTACCTCACAATCAAATGACATCACTGATCTGTGAGATGGTGTTATTCCATATCTCACCATCTAACATGGATCTGGTAATGACTGTGTCTATCTGTCACTGATTCTGATTACATGGTGGCTACCTCTGTGCATTTCCTGATTACAGGTTATTGTTTTTTGGCTGTTTTCTGCCATTTGTAACTATTGCAACCCCAAATAAGACACATTTAGAAGATTTTAGTCAATTAATTAAACACTGACACATTACCTCTTCACATGAAAGCAGAAGATAGTATTTTACAATTTTTGTTTGCATTTTATATCTCCTGTATATTTTGTCTGAATACTTGACTGACTGATGTTATACACATGTTGCAGCACATTGCAATACACTGAAAGTTCAGTGACCTTAGTGATGGTAGTGATCATGCTTTATACAATCAGGATTCTCCTTACTCAGAATTGAAGCCAGTCTCATTTGAAATCGCATATTTTACTCTGATATTTCTGCATGAAGACCTGATATTTCCATTGGAATTGCAGATGAACCTTAGGGGAACATGGGTCACCCAATCAAAGTGAAGGTAGTGGATGGCCTTTAACCAGTTCCATCCTGGTTTTAAAATTAGCCGGTTGAAAATCCTAACCTGAACACGAACGTACCCTTGTCGTTACATCCTATTTGTGTTGATAAGTGTATTACTCATCCACAATATGATATCTTAGGTTAAGTCAGTTTTGAGTTAAAATCACTTGCTTGACAAGGCCAAAAAAAATTAAATGTTGTGGTTCCGATTTCCTACATTTCAGAACTAGGGTAGGTAGGTAGGTTTTTGGTTTTTGCAAAATATTTTACACTACACATGTGTCAGAAAATAAATTTAATTTGATATGTGGTGAGTAAAAGTAAGGCTCGGCGGGAATATTTAGGGTCGGTCGGGAAATCGGAACCACAAGCTTTTTTTTTTTTAGGCCCAATGACATTAGAATCTATGTTGAAACGTCGCCTTTATAGAATAAGGAAGTTGTATATCCTTAAAATAGTCCTCATTCTTCATTCTTGAGTTAAAGAAATCGGATGTGTCCCTCTGATAGCATGAAGGCTGATAAATGGTTCACCAGACATGACCTGATATGGATTTGGTTGAGATCTTCATGCAGATGGGTATCATGTAGACGTATAAGATCAGATTTAATAAGACTGTGAAATATAGTGACTGTTGACTGACCTCAAGAAATGGACAAGATCAGTCTTTACCATAAATAAGTAAATGGGTGAAACATCCTGGTACTGAAACCTGCCCAATCATATAGCCATCTTCTCGGATTTGAAGTTGGTGAGATGATGGCTGTGTGTCAACTTGTTGTTGACACAGTCTGGGTTTGAATCCTTCAATGGATATAAAGTTAAATCTATTTTTGACATTTGTTTAGAAACATTCAGCAGGTAGTCTGGTAGCTCCAGGAACTAGTGTTTCAAGGAACTCAGTGTGTTGTCTAAACAGGTGATGAGCATATTATACGGTTATCCATCCTCCCAGTTCCGACTTTGTCCATAGGTTTTCTGTCGTTAATGAAACAGCTGGCAATTGTAGAGTATCATTTGCTTATTTTCATATGATTTCTTCATCTATCACTTCATCCTTTGTACATAGCCATACTGCATGTTATGTATAATTGTTATTTGCTACTTATGTAATACTGAGAAATAAAACATGATAAACCATTGATAAGGATTGTGTGTGTTTGGTCTGGGCATTATGACAGCTTGTTATACCACACCAACCCATGGATCTTTGGTCACAACATCAACCTGTGGATTACATGTATCTGTCCTGGGTACCGTTGTACAAAGTGATCTTAGCGCTAAGGTGACGCAACTCCCATACCTAACATAGGCTTAAGGTAGCCTTAGCGCTAAGGTTGTTTTGTACAACAGAACCCAGGCTGCAGGGTCAAGACTTACACTCACTCATGTCCAGGTTTGACTTTGTTGAAAAGATCTGGGCTGCAGGGTAGAGCAGTGTGATGTGTGGATTATGTGAATCAGTCTGACAGACTTCACGGTACAGTGGATAAAGAGTCTGCCTGGAGAGCAGAAGGTGGTTTGATGCCCAGGCAGGTCATACTAGAGTGAGTGAGTTTAGTTTAACGCCGCACTCAGCAATATTCCAGCTATATGGCGATGGTCTGAAAATAATCGAATTTGGACCAGACAATCCAGTGATCAACAGCATGAGCATCGATCTGCGCAATTGGGAACCGATGACATGTGTCAACCAAGTCAGTGAGCCTGACCACCCGATCCGTTAGTCGCCTCTTACCACAAGCATAGTCGCCATTTGTGGCAAGCATGGGTTGCTGAAGACATACTTGAAGTTGACACTCACATGCACGCACGGGCGCATACAAGCACGCATGAGCAAATAACCTGTTAACTTTGTGAATATGTATTTAGAGAGTTGCAGGATGTTGATGTCTTATAGCATGTGTTCCAGAACGGAAATTAAACCAATAATGATTCATTACAATGCGCTTGATTATATGTAAGTTACAAGGTGAATCATTGTAAGCACGCACACCACTTCAATTACAGACACGACATGGAACAATCGCAAGTACGTTTAGGGACCGTTCATAATTTATGGCTAGGGCTGGGGTGGGGGTGATAATGATTTTTATGGAGAAGCTTGTACAATGTGAATGACACCCCCTAAAGTTTATGTGCATAATAAGTGACCCCCCTGCATGTCATGTACAAAATCAATGACCCCCCTCCTCTACCCATAATTTCTAAGCCCAATTTTAAGCATATTTTTATGTACAAAATTGATGACCCCCCCCCTAGCTCGCCAGAACAAAATGGGTGAACCGCCCTTAAAATCATCATCACACCCCCTAACCATAAATTATGAACGGTCCCTTACATCGGTGTCACTATCATGTCTTTTTTGACTGGAAGCGAATTGGGATTTAAAGAGGAAGTCTTGTCAGCCTGGTTCCCTGGGTCTGTTGCGCCTGCGCTAGTGTCGGAGCGTTAGCGCAGGCGCAACAGACCCAGGGAACCAGGCTGGAGTCTTGTTCTCTTGCCCAAAAGTTGTTGGATCAAGGTTCCCCCTCATTCCTACCATTTTGTGGTAGCGGTGAGGAGGACATGTCAAGATCTGATTCACCAGAACATAAAATGATGTCCGAAACAATTTCATATTTTAACTTGTACACGTGTTTTGTTTTGGCGAACAACTCACTTCCCTCTGTATGTGTTTGACGGTTAACACCGGTGAGGCAGGACACGCCCACTTTTGAGGCGGACACGTGGTATCATCCCTCAGTTCATAAACACATGCTTAACGTAATGTCGGAATCGTAGACACTGCTTTTATAGGATATTTATATAGTGCACATATCCACACAACTAGTACATGCTCAAGGCGCTGGACTGTTCCCTTGATCAACAGATGTCTTGCTTTTAAACCGTTCTTTTTTAACCAACTCAACTCCCTGGGGAGTATTCAACTCATGCAGCCTGTTAGGCGCAGCGAGTTATCACACAGCCTCATCCTCACAAGGTACCCATTTGCAGCTGGGTGAAATTGGACACATAGTCACAGTATTTTGTCCAAGTTTACTGCACGTTACTATACCCGCAACTAGGTGTCTGCACGTGTTCGTGTGTCCACCATCTGGTCACCTACCATTGGATGAGTGGGTTCTTGTAAGTGCACAGGGTTGTGTACTGCACACTAGGGGTTGTGACAACACTGAAAGAGCCTGCAAGTAATGTTAGCAGATATTTGTTATTTATGGAAATGATTTGTCTGTTATTTTCAGGAACTTGGATGTCATCATTGTGTTGAATAAACTGTTTCCTGTAATCATATCGGATGTTTGTTTGTGCTGATCAGTATTTATGTGACAGTAATTATTCTCAAAATGGTTGTCCTTGAAAGCAGTTATTGGCATTTACAAAAGATCAGGTTGTTTTGCAAGGCACCCTGTTGGGATTTCGGGTTCAAGTAGGTTCCTAGCACTGTGATTGGGTACTATCAGTCACCGGGTGGTATGATCAATACCCGATTATTTACATACGGCCCTCATACAGTTGGAACATTGCCAAGTACTGCATATATGTATTATCAAAGAAACAAATCGAAGGGTGAAGTAGCTGAGTCATGTGCAGCTCGGCAGTTACCCCCCTCAGAGTAGTGTCCCTTATGGGTGCCCGGATCCTCAACTGGTAGGGTTTGGATCCAAAGTCTCCCCTAATGCTTATCAGTGTTTTGTCAGTTGGCACACTATCATACCCCATTAAGGGACGTTCATGATTTATGGCTAGTGGAGGTGATGATGGCGATTTTAAGCGGTGTGTGTGTGTGTGTGTGTGTGTGTGTGTGTGTGTGTCGCCCATTTTGTTCTGGGGTGGCATATGGGTCATCAGTTTTGTACACAACTACTAATGTAATGTACTAAGGGGGGTCAGCAATTTTGTACATAGTAATATTAATTTATTGTGCTTAAAAATTTTGGGAAGGAAGGATGGGTCACTTATTTTGTACATACATGTTAGGGAGGTCATTCACATTGTACATGCCTCTCCATGAAAATCATCATCATCACAAAATCCCCCCCTTCCCCCTTCCTCGCCTTACTCTGACATGTGGTAATATTCTTGAAGTCACTCTCTCACCTTGAAGAAAACACTACAAATGTTATTCCCTGAAAATATTGTAGTTCCAAGATACGCATATGTAGAGCATGTTCACCGTGTTCCATGTGATAGGGCTGCTAGTAGGAAGCTTTAATCTGCGGATCACTGGATTGTCTGGTCCAGACTCGATTATTTACAGACCATATACCTGGAATATTGCTGAGTGCAGCGTAAAACTAAACTCACTCACTCACTTTAATCGGCGCGTGAACGTAGTCACTCACTCACTCACTCTCCTGCATGGGCAGAGCTACTTGATGCAGACCGTTTCAGTTAAGAGTGAGTGAGTTACTTTAACGCAGCTTTGAACACTATTACAGTTACATGTATACTGCTGCGTGTCAGCCTCATGTTGTGGGGCGGTGGGGTAGCCTAGTGGTTAAAGCGTTGGCTCGTCACGCCGAAGACCCGGGTTCGATTCCCCAGATGTGTACAATGTGTGAAGCCCATTTCTGGTGTCACTCGCCGTGATATTGCTAGAATATTACAAAAGCGGCGTAAAACTAAACTCACTCACTCACACTCATTATGTTGGAGGAACGCCCAAAGTCATGCAGGCGTCAGACCTTTTGCAGTTGGTGAAACCTAAGAGTTGCGTAGCTGAAAATCCTCGAAATAACAGGGATCCGAACCCGCGGTCGTAGGTTTCGGGCGTTACCATGGACCCACCTATGCACAGCTATAATTGCCGCCTTTAAACTATACTAGGCCAACCGGGACGCCGTCTCCGTCAAGAGAGTGTATGAAATTAGAGTAAAGATCCGAATATAATTAGATTGCAAAACTGTACATTCGGAAAAATATGGATGCATCAAATCCACATCAAATTATTGTGCTGAACATAACATATCTACAGAAACCTGTCGCTGATGTTTACAGTGACAGTGTATCAAGGTACGTGACTGGTGGAGTAAATAATGTTTAAAGTGAAAAACGAATCCTTGAGCGAGTGAGTGAGTTTATGGTTTACGCCGCTTTTAGCAATATTCCAGCAATACATGGAACACGGCGGGGACATCAGGAATGGTCTTCACACATTGTATCCATAGTGGGCAAATCGAACTTAGGGTCTTCGGCGTGATGAGCGAACGCTTTCACCACTAGGGATACTCTACCCAGTCCAGGAATTGAGCGAGCGAGTAGTACGTCATAATGTTGTAATGAAGGTCAGCTGAAACACCCTGGACTTGTGGTCCTAGAAACATGCAGTGATTGTACCAACAGTGAAATAATCTTTGGGAAAACAACGGGGAGTGAGTGAGTGTGTGAGTGAGTGTGTGAAAGAGTGAGAGAGAGTGAGTCTACAAGTACAGTTATAAACTCAACACGTTCAGTGGTATATGGTAATACAGCTGAAACTGGACATCACTCTCTTGTCTAGTTATTATAATATTGATCTGGCAACTTGCGTTAACGAATCAAAGAGTTCTCTTTCCATTGCAGTCAAGTCTAACTAAACAATGTACTGCACTCCGTCAGCGTCCCCGTCTGTGTAAATGACGTTACGTACGCCCCTGCTGTTGCAGATTGACGTGTATGTCGCCTCAGGACACCATTCCATTCCTGTTGTTTGTAAAACTCCCCAACCGACGGTCTTTTACAGCCGTCCGACACACCATTAATTTATTGAGAATAAATATTGGAATAGATCCAATGTCTGAGGTAATACTCGTACACAACCAGTGTAAACAGGTGCCCTTTTCTACTTCGTGGAGACCGCCTCCGTGGTGTAGTGGGTAGAGCATCTGTCCGGAGACACCCTTCTGTGGTAAGGTAACACCAGTAACTTCAAAATTAACACCTGAGCAGTGTGTTTTTTGTAATCCTTCAGAGTATAACGTCGCGTTCAAGACAAAAAATCCTTTTGTTTCATGGGGAGTATAACAAAATCTCAAGGCCAATTCTTACCGGGTGTGGGGGAGGGAGGGAGGTGAGGTGAGATAGAGTTTAACGTCGCGTTCAAGACAATTGCTGCTTTGTGGCGTCGTTGTAGTGCACGTGTGTTCGCGAATGTTACTGCTCATGCCTGTTCTGACAAATTCCATTTTTATGGGGAGACTCCAGCTGAGCTAACAGTCCTTGTATTATCTCAAGACAGGAGGGAAACAATAAATACTTGTTTGTAGTTTGGACCTTCTGTTCTTTTTGGCAGATGCTCTATCCACTACATCAAGGGAGCATGCACTGAATATATATTTAAAGAAACACACTCTTAATAAACCCAGCCCATTTAAACTATGAAAGAACGAGAACAGAAACACCACAGAGATACACTGACTGCATGGTTAGCTAGAAATAACCAAACCCGTCAGTATATAGCACGATCTACCGCTACCAAACAATTCTTCCCCGGATCTTCACGGGTGAAAACAGACTAATGTTTGAAAACGAAAACAAAGGTGACTTCATTTGAAAACGATTTCAGTTTTCATAAATAAGTGAAAGTACTAATCTTTACTTACATATTTTAATAATTTCAAGGACAAAACACGAATATATTGACATCACAAGAGATCGTCAACTGACGCCAGTGACGATATCATATTTCGCTGTCGGCGACCTGTGAAGCCCTCCCCAGGTCTCTTCTTACCATTGGTTAACACATTGTCGCCAGTACCTATTGCTAAAGCCGCCTGCAGTCTAATCGTCTTCTTGAGAGCATCCTGCAAACTGCTGCCTGAAAGACCACTAACAAATGATTGAGATCTCACTAAAAACTTTCGTTGGTCATTTGGGTGAGAAGCCTTCGGAATGTTATTATTTTGTCTTTTCAATGTTGGAACTAGTTTCCCATTGACATTTTTGTAAACAGTTTTTGACATATCACCATTGCTATGGCAACGTCTGAAAGACATTTTTCTGAACTTGGGTGGTCGAAGTATCACTTCGTTAGTGTTGTGTGTGCCTAATCGAGTGGCGGTCGATTTGGGTTGTATTTGTGAGGTTTCGTTTAAAGCACAATTTGTTATTAGTTCATCGTCTGTTTCGGAGACTTCGTGAATCGTAAGCATGTCTCCGTGTCTGGCACATGCAACTTTGATGCTGTTAGAGCGCCCTCTGGCGACGGGTACAAACGTCCCGGATGTATGTCGACTTGATGAGAAGTTTGTGGTGAGTGTCGTCGAGTAAAATTCCTCGCTTTCCAGCACAGTTGCTTCTCGACCCGCGAACCTCTGTCCTGAACGTAAGTATTTCCAAATCTCATAACGAGTAAGTCTGTTCATGAAGGCATAAATAACAGGATTAATTGCGCATGACAGGAACACGAGACAAATTCCGGTCATATCCATATAGGCAGACGTTTCCGCGCCAAATGCTTTCATGAGGCCGGCTATGATGAAAAACGTCCATGAAATAACATAAGATCCGTAAATGATCAGAATTGTTTTCACCGCCTTACACTCTGTCCTCCGAGATCTCGGCACACGAGATGTGACATCGTCAATTTCAATGGTGGCCACGATGGAGATATCCTGGGTGGTGCTAGTGCTTCCAACAGATGGATATATCCTGTTAGCTGCTTTTGTGTGTTTGATTGCTGCTTTGAAAATGCTCAAATAGCAGCACGTCTGAACAATAAACGGTAACAGGAAAGCAGCAAGAATAAAGAATATACTGTATTTGCTCTCAGCCTCCCAAGTATTTCCACACACGAACTGGGTACGCTGATAGGAGAGTTCCCCGTATGTAAACAATGGCGGCATGCCAAATGCAAAGCCTAGTAGCCAGGTGAGGGCGATGAGGAGATTGCCGAGACGGGGGGGGAGAAGACGTAGGGGTAGCGGAGGGAGTTGACGATGGCGTAGTTGCGGTCCACGGAGATGATGAGGAGGGAGTACTGCAGGGCGATGACGAGCACCGTCAGAAGATACGCCTGAATTCGACACCAGAGGTCGCCCATGACCCACTCTTGGGACACAAGGGACAGCATCAGGAACGGCATGATTAAAATGGACAGACCTGAAGAAAAAAGCAAAATAACATAATAGTATAGTTGAATATATATTTAAATAGATACATTCAATCCTTACAATACAAAAGGGGGACAGGTGACCCACAGGTCTAGGGTTGGTTGGTTGGTTGTATATCGCCGCACTCAGCAATATTCCAGCTATATGACAGCGGTCTAAGGCGTTGTAATTCCATGTGCTCAGTCGCCTTCATGAGGTAATAAGATATCACCATATCGTGAGTTCAAATCCAAGTTCGTCCTGATTATTATTTTAGTTTTGGGAGCACCTGTTTCATCACATTAGTGTACGTCTAAGACTTGATATTCTGTTACCTTATTAATTTGGCACACCCTGGGTTGGGTTGAGGCAATCTAAGTAAACTTAGGCTCAGTATTATTCGTTACACTGCTATATTCGGTATTAGTAAACTTAGTATTATCCGTTATAGTAGTATAGCAGTGTTACGAATAATACTGAGCCTAAGTTTACTTAGACCGTGGTTGAGGCTCCTTTCAGTAATATTTTTTATAACTGAAATATTACTGAAAGAAGCCTTAACCAAACCCACTCACTCACTCACACTTACAGTTTAAGCCACAACACACCTAAGGCTTATTGTTTACGCAAACAACAAGTAGCATGATCACTTGGATCTGTTGCGTTTTTTATGAGTATAAGTATAACAGAAGTTTCAGTACAACGATAACATCAAAAACATTCGATAAAATTTCATAGAAGGTTGTACTTTTGATGCAGTAAATTTTGGCCATTTTTGACTGGGATAATAATGAGGTGACAATTTGATTGATCGATTAGTAAAGGATGAACGGATATCGATAACGTCCAATGCATAATCGACATGAGTTAAATATTCACTTAGGAAAGTGTAAACACTGGTGTTAGCAACATGTCGCCAGTTGATAAACACGGTGGACTCTCGTCAACACTGTGTACACCGAAACAAGCGCCATAACTAATGCACTCTCCAGCTGAACTATAAATATGTTCTTCTTCAGACAAACAATACCGGATGCCACAGAGACGCTGAACACATAATCCTGACGGAAATACCACTACCAATTACCGCATCTGAATCAAGTTAAAATAACGCAGATTCAATTCCCTGCACAGTGAACCCAATCAGTGCAGTCTCTGCATGTTCTAGACGATTATTTATAGGAAGCGATTGTTTCTTGTGGCCCGTTTCCCTGTGCTGAGTTATGTCCCTTGGATGTGCTAGAAAACCATTATTGTTGGTTCGAATCCCGATTCGATTATGTTATGATTTGTCAGCACCATGGCCGCCCCCTCAGGTTTGAAATGCTGGTTGTTTTTTTGTTTTTTTGTTTAACGCCGTACTCGGCAATATTACAGCTATATGGCGGCGAGTCTGAACCAGACAATCCAGTGATAAACAACATGAGCATCGATCTACACAATTGGGGACCGCCTCCGTGGTGTAGTGGTTAGAGCGTCCGCCCGGAGAGCGGAAGGTCGCGGGTTTGATCCCCGGTCGCGTCATACCAAAAGACGTTAAAATATGGCACTTGTTCCCTGCCTGGCGCTCGGCATTAATGGGTACAACAAGGACTGGTCGGCTTGGAGTCAGTATAATGTGTCTGAGTGGGGTATTCATGCTTCACTGCGGCATGGTATCTCAGTGGGCTAGCACTATAAAACCAGCTTAAGTCTGGGCTAGTACAAGCGGCCGCACATACACATACACACGCATGCACGTCGTCATATGAGCGAAATATTCTCAAGCACGACGTAAAACCCAATTTCACCTCACCTCACCTCACCTCACCTCACACAATTGGGATACGATGACATGTGCCAACCAAGTCAGCGAGCCTGACCACCCGATCCCGTTAGTCGCCTTTTACAACAATACAAGCATGGGTTGCTGAAGATGGATCTTCACGGGTAAGTTTGAAATGTCTTAGACCTAGTTAAAATAGATTTATACCTAGAAATGCGGTATGAAGTGTGGTTGGACCCAGCCCACCCAGTAGACCTAGTATAAATGAAATACAGTATGAAGCGTGGTTCGACCATCCCTTCATGTGGATGGACATGACGGCTTCTACTGGTTCAGACAGAGCTCCTTGATTGATTTCCACGAAGAACTGTCCACTTCGGACGCAATGTTATTTGTCTAGGAGACAGTATTAACTCCACCAAAGTGACTGCACGGATGTTACGGTGGGACCCTCGTTGACAGCCGTAATTAAATCTGTCTGCGGGTTGTTATCTCTTTTATCTCATGTCGGTAGTAATGAAATAATTATGTTTTAATAATAGACCCATTTCTTGTGCTACGATACAGTACAGGCAGCGTGGATTGTAGGAAAGTAGGACCACATATTCGTGCGCGCCGCATCCGCCTCATCACACAGCTCATTTCTTATTGATGTGTGTTCCAGCAATCCCAGTCATGTCATGTTTCCGGAAACCCACAAAATGCCTTGATACTCGTCAACTAGTACTTGTACAGCGACAGCTTGCTTGTCGGAGTTTGGTGTACAGGAGCACGACCAGTTAGTGAGGACGTTTAGTATATAGCAGTTATTGCCCGGTCGTTTAGTATATAGCAGTTATTGCCTGGTCGTTTAGTATATAGCAGTTATCGCCCGGTTGTTTAGTATATAGCAGTTATTGCCCGGTCGTTTAGTATATAGCAGTTATCGCCCGGTCGTTTAGTATATAGCAGTTATCGCCCGGTCGTTGAATATATAGCAGTTATCGCCCGGTCGTTTAGTATATAGCAGTCATCGCCCGGCCGTTTAGTATATAGCAGTCATCGCCCGGTCGTTTAGTATATAGCAGTAATCGCCCGGTCGTTTGATTATATAGCAGTTATCGCCCGGTCGTTTAGTATATACTACTAGCAGTTATCGCCCGGTCGTTTAGTATATAGCAGTTATCGCATCGCCCGGTCGTTTAGTATATAGCACTACTATCAGTTATCCCGGTCGTTTAGTATATAGCAGTTATCGCCCGGTCGTTTAGTATATAGCAGTTATCGCCGGTCGTTTAGTATATAGCAGTTATCGCCCGTTTTAGTATATAGCAGTTATCGCCCGGTCGTTTAGTATATAGCAGTTATCGCCCGGTCGTTTAGTATATAGCAGTTATCGCCCGGTCGTTTAGTATCGCCCAGTTGTTTAGTATTGCAGTTATCGCAGTTACGGTCGTTTAGTATATAGCAGTTATCGCCCGGTCGTTTAGTATATAGCAGTTATTGCCCGGTCGTTTAGTATATAGCAGTTATCGCACGGTCGTTTAGTATATAGCAGTTATTGCCCGGTCGTTTAGTATATAGCAGTTATCGCACGGTCGTTAAGTATATAGCAGTTATCGCCCGGTCGTTTAGTATATTGCAGTTATCGCCCGGTCGTTTAGTATATAGCAGTTATCGCCCGGTCGTTTAGTATATAGCAGTTATCGCCCGGTCGTTTAGTATATAGCAGTAATCGCCCGGTCGTTTAGTATATAGCAGTTATTGCCCGGTCGTTTAGTATATAGCAGTTATTGCCCGGTCGTTTAGTATATAGCAGTTATCGCACGGTCGTTTAGTATATAGCAGTTATCGCACGTTAATAGGCATCAGTGGTATGGGAGCAGTGACGACTGGTTCCCGATTTTGATCATCTGTTAGCGTAAAGTACACACAAGTTAATTATGAAATGGTTTGAATTTAAAAATTCATGTAATATCAGCTTTGATGAAAAATGGAACCTTTGAAATGCTTCACGTGCTCAACTTTTCGAAAAGGCTGTGATCACGGATGCGTTCATGGTTGACATTTTGAATGACTTCTAGTGACACTTAATTTAATACCATTTAAAAACATATTTCATTTACGTCACAGAGAGTCAGATCCATGCCTTGGCGTTTATTTGCCACGGGTGAGTGAGTGAGTTTATCGCCACTTTGTTATAGTACAGGGGAAGCCTGGCAGTGATGTGAGTCCGACGTATTTGAACCGTCTGACCAACATAAATCAGACTGCCCTACTCACCGCCCTATTACAAAACAACCGTAGCTACGACTGCCGTACGTTTGTGTTAATCAATAGGAATTACGATCACCTAACCTGCGATACGTTTCTGGCACTTCTGAAAACGTGGGCTAAGCGATCCGCAATTTTGAAGAATTCCACAAGCATGTGGACTGTGCTGACAGACGATGGCTGAAAACAGTCGGCTAGCGGGCGTAGCGTTTGCTAACGTCCGATTCACAAGGTTCGAACCTCAGGGGGCTTACTCTCCTGAAACACGCTCATATGCATAATGAGTGAGTGAGTTTAGTTTCGATATGCCTTTTTGGTGAAGATACTAAGGAACTCAGGAACACCAAAACATATTATGGAATGTCCTTATATTACTTTCATTTGAAACTGCCCTCTGACGTTCATTTTCTTTAGTCAGAAATCAAACGTGCTGTTCTGAATTCTGTCTTATTGAAATGATGAAATAAGCGACCATACAACGAATATTTTTCTGATAGATCTTACCAAGTTCACAGCAGGTGAGGTTCAGGACAAAGCTGTTGGACACTGTCAGGAGCTGTGGCCTCTTGTAGAACACCACGCAGATTGTACCGTTACAGAGGAGGGACATTAGAAACACCAACGTGAAGTAGGTCACCGCTGCACCGAGCCCCGCTGTGCTGATGACGTCGTCGACATGGAGCTCCCCGTCACATGTGTTACTGACGTTACATGGCGACTCCGTCATGTTGTCACCACTGTAACCCTGAAAGCGAATAGAATCGTGTTGAATTTGTACCTAGACTGGCTAAGTAGGCGGATACTGTCCCTACGCTTGGTGTCAAGAAAGTCTAGTGATAAACCGTTTTCGTTTCACGCGTAAGACCATTGTTTGATTCGTCACACGGGAAACAGCATGCGTGACGCCCCTTTGCTAATATCACTCCACTCACCCACTCAACTACTCACTCACTGACTCACTCACCCACCAACCCACCCATTCACTCACTCACTAACGGCACCCAGGTTGACCCACGCCTTCGTATCTTTATTGCGCAGATCGATGCCCATAATGTCAACTACCGGATTGTCTGGTCAGACCCGACTTGAACAAACAAACAAGTAAAACAAACATTGTCAAGAAACAGCCATGCTTTATAATTTATATTTGCACAGCAAATACTAAGATGTATCTCTTCAACATCCATACTCTGTGACAATACAACTGTGCTTATTTAAAGTGCTGAGAATATTAAATCTGATGTCACTATGGAAACGATCAGCGATGTACCACAGGCTTCTAGAGTAAGCCAAGGACAGTACTTGCCACACGCTGCTGTTTGAGTCAGAGTATTAACATTGTTTTAGATGTGTAGGCGGCCCAACTGACCTTATATTCCTGGATGTGCAATTAATAACGGTTGCTCAAAATACAAAGGTGTTTTAAGCTTACGAACTTAATTTACAGGTATTTATCACTTCAAAGATCATTAGATAAAAAACATAATCCCTGGCTCTCGCACGTTAAAAATATATTAGACAATACTGGACTCTCGTATGTTTTTGATAATCCCTCAATTTGTACTACCCAGTGGCTGGTCTCAAAAGTTGAACATATTCTTAAAGATCAATTTATCCAAAACTGGCACAATGACATTATTTCTAGTCCTAAGGGTATACACTATCAGCACCTAAAGCCATTTCCCAATTTTGATGTATATCTCCTCCTTCCAAAACGCATTTCTTTGCCATTATTGAGATTTAGAACATGTAACCATAGTTTACCTATTGAGACAGGCCGCTGGAAAAATATTCCAAGGGACGAGAGAACGTGTCAACTATGTACTTCTAAAGCATCGCAGATGAATACCACTATATTTTTCATTGCAAAGCATTAGATACTTTGAGGAAAGAATATTTACCCTCCCACTTGACCTCTTTTCCCAATGAAACAAAGTTCACGAAAATATTATCTGTAAAAACATCTCGAGACATAGTAAATCTATCAAAATATATCCTACATCTATCATCTCTTGTCAGAAAAAAATGTTGTTAACTGCCATCTTGAATTTGATTTGTATTTGTATATATGTTTACAATATATGCTCTTGTACCACCAAGGTGGTTTATGAGAATAAAGAAATTGAAAAAAAATTGAAATTGGTATGGGAGCAGTGACGACTGGTTCCCGTTTTTGATCATCTGTTTGCGTAAAGTACACACAAGTTAATTATGAAATGGTTTGAATTTAAAAATTCATGTAATATCAGCTTTGATGAAAAATGGAACCTTTGAAATGCTTCACGTGCTCAACTTTTCGAAAAGGCTGTGTTCACGGATGCGTTCATGGTTGACATTTTGAGTGACTTCTAGTGACACTTAATTTAATACCATTTAAAAACATATTTCATTTACGTCACAGAGAGTCAGATCCATGCCTTGGCGTTTATTTGCCACGGGTGAGTGAGTGAGTTTATCGCCACTTTGTTATAGTACAGGGAGGAAGCCTGGCAGTGATGTGAGTCCGACGTATTTGAACCGTCTGACCAACATAAATCAGACTGCCCTACTCACCGCCCTATTACAAAACAACCGTAGCTACGACTGCCGTACGTTTGTGTTAATCAATAGGAATTACGATCACCTAACCTGCGATACGTTTCTGGCACTTCTGAAAACGTGGGCTAAGCGATCCGCAATTTTGAAGAATTCCACAAGCATGTGGACTGTGCTGACAGACGATGGCTGAAAACAGTCGGCTAGCGGGCGTAGCGTTTGCTAACGTCCGATTCACAAGGTTCGAACCTCAGGGGGCTTACTCTCCTGAAACACGCTCATATGCATAATGAGTGAGTGAGTTTAGTTTCGATATGTCTTTTGGGTGAAGATACTAAGGAACTCAGGAACACCAAAACATATTATGTTCTGAATTCTGTCTTATTGAAATGATGAAATAAGCGACCATACAACGAATATTTTTCTGATAGATCTTACCAAGTTCACAGCAGGTGAGGTTCAGGACAAAGCTGTTGGACACTGTCAGGAGCTGTGGCCTCTTGTAGAACACCACGCAGATTGTACCGTTACAGAGGAGGGACATTAGAAACACCAACGTGAAGTAGGTCACCGCTGCACCGAGCCCCGCTGTGCTGATGACGTCGTCGACATGGAGCTCCCCGTCACATGTGTTACTCACGTTACATGGCGACTCCGTCATGCTGTCACCACTGTAACCCTGAAAGCGAATAGAATCGTGTTGAATTTGTACTTAGACTGGCTAAGTAGGCGGATACTGTCCCTACGCTTGGTGTCAAGAAAGTCTAGTGATAAACCGTTTTCGTTTCACGCGTAAGACCATTGTTTGATTCGTCACACGGGAACAGCATGCGTGACGCCCCCTTGCTAATATCACTCACTCACCCACTCAACTACTCACTCACTGACTCACTCACCCACCAACCCACCCACTCACTCACTCACTAACGGCACCCTGGTTGACCCACGCCTTCGTATCTTTATTGCGCAGATCGATGCCCATAATGTCAACCACCGGATTGTCTGGTCCAGACCCGACTTGAACAAACAAACAAGCAAACAAACATTGTCAAGAAACAGCCATGCTTTATAATTTATATTTGCACAGCAAATACTAAGATGTATCTCTTCAACATCCATACTCTGTGACAATACAACTGTGCTTATTTAAAGTGCTGAGAATATTAAATCTGATGTCACTATGGAAACGATCAGCGATGTACCACAGGCTTCTAGAGTAAGCCAAGGACAGTACTTGCCACACGCTGCTGTTGGAGTATTAACATTGTTTTAGATGTGTAGGCGGCCCAACTGACCCTATATTCCTGGATGTGCAATTAATAACGGTTGCTCAAAATACAGAATATAGAAAACAGTGGAACATAATCTCTTACCGCTGGTGTTTCCTACCGGAATTAACAACAGGCGTGTTATGAAACGTTGTCTATTATGGCACACTGACACATTGCCTGTTATAGCACATTGTCGGTTTTGACATATTGCCTGTTATGACACATTGTCTATTTTGATACATTGTATGTTATGACACATTGTCTATTTTCACACGCTTTCCGTTATGATACATTGTTATGAAACGTGTTATGGCACGCTGTCTGTTATGGCACGTTGTCTATTATGACTCATTAACATATTGTCTGTCATTACACGTTGTCTATTATGACTCATTAACATATTGTCTGTCATGACACGTTGTCTATTATGACTCATTAACATATTGTCTGTCATGACACGTTGTCTATTATGACTCATTAACATATTGTTTGTCATGACACATTGTCTATTATGGCACGCTGACACACTGCCTGTTATGACACATTGTCTGTTATGACACATTGTCTGTTATGACACATTGTATGTTTTGATACATTGTCTGTTATGACACATTGTCTGTTTTGATACATTGTCTATTAAGACACATTGTCTGTTTTGATACGTTGTCTGTTATGATACATTGTCTGTTTTGATATACTGTCTGTTGTGGTACATTGTCTGTTTTGATACACTGTCTGCTGTGGTACATTGTCTGTTATGGCACATTGTTTTGATACATTGTCTGTTATGGCACATTGTCTGTTTTGACACATAGTCTGTTTTGACACATAGTCTGTTGTGATACATTGTCTGTTATGGCACATTGTTTTGATACATTGTCTGTTTTGACACATAGTCTGTTTTGACACATAGTCTGTTGTGATACATTGTCTGTTATGGCACGTTTTCTGTTATGGCACATCGTCTGTTATGGCACATTGTCTGTTTTGACACATTGTCTGTTTTGATACATTGTCTGTTTTGATACATTGTCTGTTATGGCACGTTTTCTGTTATGGTACATTGTCTGTTATGGCACATTGTCTGTTATGGCACATTGTTTGTTTTGATACATTGTCTGTTATGACACATTGTCTGTTTTGATAGTCGCGAATGCCCATGACAGGCGCTGTCTGAACAGCTGTGAACGAAATGTTTATTCCGATAGCTTGCTTATAAAGCATGTAGCGCAAACAAGGTTTATCATGTTATTGAAAAGGGTTTTAAAGCCGTATAAGGTAATTGCAATAAGCACACAAATATAAAGCATATCAGTCTGGAAAAAATGGTTCCACTCACTAAACAGTTTGGGCACACGTGTGAAGCAATATTGTCCTCAATAATGTTTACACTCACTAAACATGAGAAGAAATATTTTCCCTAAAATGTTTAAACTCACTAAACATGTTATACCCACATATGAAGTATTGCATTACTTAATAACGTTTTACAAACACAATATGACGTCAGAGCAAGAGAACAACTATTGTTTAGCAGATTCTATTCACCCTGGCACTGCGTTCATACGCAAAGTGAGTGAGTGAGTCTAGCTTTACGCCGCTAAAGAACCTGGCATACTTCGATGATACTTTTGCACATATCTAATGAAACCATGGGCCAAGAGGAACATGACCAAGGAGGCATTGATATACACCTACCGTATATACAATAGAGGAAGACGTGTGGTCGAGAATGCTTTCGGTATCCTGGCTTACAGATGGAGGTGTCTGAAGACTGTTACATCAAGCCCCCGAAATAGTCCAGATGACTGGACCATAAGTGCTGTATATATAGTAGTTCAAAACCACCTGAGGTCCAGGTACCAAGACATCATGACTGACTGACTGAGTTTGGTTTTACGCCGCTTTTAGCAATATTCCAGCAACATCACGGCG